CTAGGAGTATTACTAATATTGATAGAACTTTGCTATGGGCCTGTGATGAATAGCTCACAGATGCCACCTTATTTCACCATCCTATCACCCAGAAATGTAGAGTTTCCATTTTATCAAAAGGAAACAGAGACATCAATAATGGTCTCCATTGCACATAAGGCAGCAAAACACCTCAGCATCAGAACCTGTTAACTTCAAAACCCATTTTTAAAATCCCTCTACTACATGACTATTCTAAAAGACCTGTTTGGAAATTTACTCATCCTCATTACCTCTCTCAGAACTCATTATATATATAAGGCATTCAGTGAGTAACTGGTAAATAATACGGACATAGCCCACTTTTTCATATTTATTCTGTGCCACTGCTCCCTGTACCCATCTTAGATGGTGGCACTGAGCTTCAGTCAATATATGCCTTGCTCTTTGTTTTATAACACAACTACTATTGTTATGGGAAAGCCAGGTCTACACCAAGTCCTCTTAACTCTTACTGGCATGGTATTTCTTCTGTACCATGCAATCAATATTGAAAATGAAACTTCAGTGTTAAAGGACTAGAAATGTCTTGTCCATTGTTGATGACAATGTCCTAATATGTGGTTCCACCATCAAGTTACATTTGCCAACTTGGCTTCCAACAATACTGGAGCAGATTTCTCCTACACCTTTTCTACAATCTGTGGTAGGAAAGGGACAGCACTTTATAAGCCCCACAGATGAGCTGGCCTTAGTTTTCATGACATTTTAGTGATTGGTAGTTTTGTATTCCATTTTTAGTCCCCCAATTTTCCATCCTAGTAGAAACCATGGAAACAAATCAAAAAGCAGAAATCCCAAATGAAGTAAATTGCCTCCCTAACTAAAGGCATGAAGCAACAGGACAAAACGAAGCACAATAGCATAGATGGATGGAGCCAGGTACTGTAAGGCTCCATGCCCCCTGCTAGCCCATCAAACAAAATCTGTATCACACAGATCCTACTCCCACAGAGTCAGAGTCGGTATACCTACCCTAGAGAATGTGCCAGATCCATATTATGCTAGTGTGTGTTTTTGTCCTATATAATGGTGCATTGAGGGAAGAAGCCAGATGCTATGGTGTCTGCTCACACCTCGATTGTGTTTATGAATATGTACCTACCATGCCAACACTTCAACTTGTTCAAGAGATTTATCTGGAAAATCTAGTGAAAAATTCCCTAAGTACAGTGATCCTATTCACTGGTATGTCCCCTGGATGTAGCCCATAGTCAGTATCTTGTAAGTTTGTTGAATGTAAAAATGAATGAACACTACTTTGTCATTTAAATGACGATGCAATCACATATTTGCTACTGTTTAAAAAAGGAACATGAATGAACAATGTGCACAGAACAATGTGCACTAATTCAAATATCCACATACATTTACTTGAAATTAAAGATATGTGAAAGCTGAAATATGAATGAAATTCAACTAGTAAATGGTATTTTGTTAACTCAGAGGCTCAGAAATTGTAGAGAAAACTGGCAAGCAGGTTTTGGTGTATTAGAATCAACATGGTTCTACCAGTGAATTTAGTCTATGAACTTTAGACTTAAAGCATCTAAGGGTCACTTCCTTCATGTACAATTTAACATTTGTATAACCTTGGGGAAAAGACTGAACTTCTCTAGAGATCCATGTCATCACGTAAAGCACATACCCTATATGCACATTGCAGGAATTAAAACAAAAAAAAATTTTAATCACTGATTCTTAGACAGTAAAAGATTTTTTTTAAGACATCACTCACAGTAGCCACTCTTTAAATGTTAGTCCCACTTTTCCTTTACCCTGGTGGAATTCTGAGAAAATGGGAAATCTTAGGTCATTTAGTCTTGGAGAATAGGCAATTATAAATAAAAGGATGGAGATTTCTAGCAATAGAAATAGTAATTTGTGTTTTTGTTTCACCATCACTTTTCTCAAATCACTAGAAGAAAAAGAAAACCAAATAATAATAAGAAGAAGAGGTCTGCGCGCCTTGTGGGACCCTCCTCCAGTGGCCAGGGAGTAGCAGGGGATTGAATCTGCGCTGAAGAGGCTGCGGGCAGCTTCATGACCCAGCGCTCAACCTCTGTGCCACCATGGAGGCCCCTATGTAAGTTTCTTAATGAGTATTTTGTCATTCAAATTATGATGCAATGGCAACATGTTAAAGAAAAGACATAATTGAAATGATTTAGGATACAGAACAACATGCACGAACTTCGACATGCATCCTCATTTTAATAAAATTGATGATATATGAAAGCAGACATTTGAATAAAAATCTGAGCACTGCTTTACAGATTCTAATTCATTATGCAATGATTGTTAGGCACTGAAAAAAAGTTCATTATCAGAAATTCCCTAGAAGATGCTAACTGTTTTGCTTAAGAGTAATTGTCATCAGCTACCAGCAGATATGCTTTTGACAAACAAGAAGCATAAATTAACATGAAAGGAGAGAGGCCAAATAATGCTCAAGCTTTGTATCTCTGAGGACTAGTAAAGAGTGTATCTTCCCCATCCAGAGAATGTGTAAATTTGTAGACATAACTAAGAACTAGGTTCTCATGTATTATTAGGTCATCATAGAATTCAATCTGTGAACCTTAGAATCTGGGCCTTCATTTCTACCTCTACTATTTAATGATTGTGTACTCTTGGAGGAAAAAAAATTTTACTTCTCTGAGTACATGTCATTATTTGTAAAATGGAGTCACAATACCTATTCTGTCTCCACGTTTCACAATAAAAGTATGATATCTTTAAAACGTCTGTCAAAAGAATGAACCTTTCTAAATGCTAGTTCCAATTTCCCTTTATTGGGTTGCTCAGGTGGAAGCCTGAGAATCTGGAAAATCTTAAATCATTTAGAGTTCATTTAGACGAGGATATTATTATGAAAATGTTTGAGATTACTAATATTTTTCTAAATCCTGATATACTATTTGCTTGTTCTCTTTCCTTGCAATTACTAGTAGTAAAAAACAAAAAATCCAGGGCCTCCCCGGTGGCACAGCGGTTGAGCGCTGGCTTGCAAAGCTGCCCGCAGCCTCTGCAGTGCTGGTTCAATCCCCGGTCACCGGGTGAGAGTCCCACATGCCACGCAGACCTCTCCTGCCGTCCGCTGCTCCCCTCAGCAGTGAACTTCATCAGTCTGCCTGCTCTGCTCTCTGCTCTGACTCTGGTGAATTCTCTCACCCTCCCGTGCTTCTGACTGTACCCAGTGCTTGTATAAATAAAGTATAAATAAGTAATCTTTAAAAAAAAAATCCAATCAATCACACAAAAGACGAAAAGCAAAGCAAAACAAAAACTCATCTTAAAATGGAAAGGGAAGGAGAGAGGGGGAAAAAAAGAAATTCTAACAATGTAGTTAAAATGATAACATTCTAAACTTGCTCCACATCAAGAAATACTGTCATAGGAGCAAGCAGTCTCAGGAAATCTAAAAACATGGCATTTAATCTACACGGCCATTCTATGAAATACCATTGAAACTCCATTTTTCAAAACACAGTATTTTAGGCTCAAAGAGGACAGAACTGCTTAAGAACATATTGCTAAGGAGAAACAGCCTTGTTCTTCATGCACATAGTCTCCCGGGGTACTCTTTTCATTATGTCACAATTTCTCCACAACCGAAGAGCTTGTGGGAAAACTGGAAAAAGTAACAGATAAATAAGCAGACCAATCCCTTGAGATCCACAGAGAAGTAAAAGGGTCCATAGGATGTCTACCCAGTGCAAACAGTGTGAGTTGGGGGACTCTATACCCTCTTTGTTTCTTGGTTTCTTTAAAGACTTCCTTGATTACCTTGTGCTACTTCCTCACTCCTAAACACTCTCAGCATCCGGTATTTAATTGTTCCCTCTGCTCAGAGAGCTCCTGCTCCCTGTGTCCTGGGATACATCATAAATGGGACCCCAGAGGGACGATGAGATCATATAAGATCCTGCAATGGGAAGAGATACCCTCTGCTAGCAGAGAAGTCACCTTAGGTCACAGGGCATACTTCAGATGTACAGCGTCCCCTCTCTGTGTGATTAGGAATGAAAAGGACCATGTGTGGTCTGCAGCCCAAAAAGCCCAAACCATTTCCATGATCCCTAAAAAAGAGAGATTGGGAATGGTAAGCTCCAAAACATTATAGAAGAAACTGAAGCTAAAAGTAGAGGAAAATATTTGTTTTTCTAACTTAAACCAACAATGAACTTTTTGACTATAAAATGCTCAGTACATCTTTTTATTTTCTAAGTTATCCTCACTCTGGACTTTACTATAGCAAGGGCTGACAGAAGAAATCAAAATCAAGAGTTTCCTTCTCCTTTTATGGCTTGATTAGAGTTCTTACCACCATTCACTCTATCAAACAGCATGCAGGAATGCATTCACAGATCTTTTTTTGCCTCAATTTTTGTTTCCTTAACCAATAACTCAGCATCTATCACCTTTTCCAAATAACACACTTATTTAGGACTAAAAATCTGGATGGATATTTCTAGACACGAAGAAAAGAAATTTCTCTGGCATGGAGAAAATAACAATCTTTATGATACAAAGGTATGTAAAGATAATCCCTGGGTCTCTCCCAAATTCTTTGAAGACTGCACATAATTTTTTTTATTTTTTTTTTCTTTTTATTTATTTATACAAGAACTTGGGTATAGGCTAGATTCACGGGAGGGTGAGAGGATTCATCAGAGACAGAGCGGGGAACAGAACAGGTAGACTGACGAAATACACTGCTGAGGGGAGCAGCGGGTGAGACAGGAGAGGTCTGCCACGCCATATGGGACCTTTGCTGGCTGGCTGGGATCGAACCAGCACTGTAGAGGCTGCGGACAGCTTCACAGCACGGTTTTCAACCACCTGCACCACCAGGTGAGGCCCTGCACATAATTCTTTTTAAATGGCTCCCTTTTCTTCTCCTTTTCCTAAAATGCAGTATCTCTCAAGGTTTGGCCTCCAGTCCTATGTTGTCGTCACTTTATTGTCCCTTCTGTGACCTCCATCAGGCTTAAGACATCTGTCATCTCCATGCAGGTAACTACTTTCCAAATTTTTTAGCATTGCACGCTCAATAGTATAATGAGCCACACATAGCATGCTATTTTGTATCAAATCTTTCATAAACAATATCACTTTAATCCTTACAACAATCCTGTGATATATTATCTTCATTAAACAAAAATTAACATTTACTGGGTTCCACTACATACCAAGCACAATTGTAACAACATCCCACATTTTTATTGAAAATGTCAAATATAGACTTGCAGAACCTAATTGAGGGGTATAATGCCAAAGAGACTTATCAATGATTTCATGGGACTTTCCTATTTGACCCCTACTGTCTTGCGTTAATTATTATTAGCATCCCTTTTGATTCTCAAAAGTATCCCAGTTATGGTGATAAATTTTAACTAAGTTGAGGGGGAGGCTACTGGTACAAAGAATATTTTCTGCTTTTTCAAAAATGAAAGTTGAGGTTCGGAGAAAGTAAATTACTAATCCACAGCCATGCCACTAACAATCAGAATTTGAACTTGGGTCTCCAGACCTCTAATCTTTTCATTATATCCTATGTCGTGTCTTTCCTAGACAAATATTTGATTTGAGCTCAATCTTCTAGGAAAGCTGTGTCCATTTTTGTTATAGGTGTCACCCTAAATGACTATTTGAATTATCACTAGGTTTCAGGCATGTCTTGGATGCCTACGAACCTGTCTAATCATGATCTTAGGCATGGGAGGATGTTGAAATTTTAAGGAAAAAAATTAATATTTCAAGTTATTAGGACAGAATTTTAGAATTGTTTTCAAAAATTTAACATGGTAAATACAATTTTAGTTTGTAGCTATCTTTGATAGGACTTAGATAAAATAATATTTATTCTGCTCTAGAACCAGCAGAAATGTAACTCATATTTCATTTTATATGTCACAGATCATAAACTGGCACAATTCCTGTTTTACTGGTTTTGAATAGTTTGGAGGGGGATTGCTTGCATGAAGGGTAGAAGGGACAAGAGAGATCCTTAAATCATAGTTCCCAAACTTGTCCATTATGTATTTTATCTGCTCCTTAGCATAACTCAGAATGGACTGCCAAGTTCCCCAGGGTATTTTCTAAACACTTCTCCAAACCCTCGCTATTTAGCATTAGCTATGCAGATGCAAATATTAAACCAGCACGAAATGGCTGACTCTTGTCCAGAGGTAAGGAGTAAGTTACAGCTGCTGGGTACCTCCAATCCCATAGACTGCATAGATGTCTTATCCTGTTTATCTTAAAATAGTGTATCTACATAGACTTGACACCATATGTGAACTTTTCATTTATTCACTTATATGAATATTTAAATGACAGCAATTCAAAGGTACAGTGATAATACTCCAGATTAAATGAAAAATTGCAGCGTTCACTCTAAGGACCTTATAGTCTAATAGAACCTGAATTCATTCGTGTAAGGATTTCTCTTGTAAATATGAGTAGTTTTAACCTGTCTTACCACTTCCTATTTTCTTGGAAGATAAAATGATCTATCAGTAACCATCAATTATAAAGGAGATCAGGGAAATTCATCAGGGATTGTATTTAGTAGTCAGTCATTTATGATTAGACAATTTTCATATATTTTGAATATCAAAATAAGAATTTATAAATAAAAACAAAGTGAAAATATCTCTTTTTGCACAACTCACAAGCACATTTAAACATAAAGCATTGTAACAGATGTTAATCACAACAGAACCGATGGGCAGTTTCATGTTCTCTGCATTTGAGTGACATCTCCCTTTAAAATAAAACAATGATCAAACTTCTAGAATCAGAGTGCAGACTGGTGGATTACAGGAACAGAAGCCAGAGGGAAAAGGGGAGTTGATAATAAAAGGTTATGAAATTTTTCAGTAATGTAAGATGAATACATTCTAGAAATCTATTGTACAAGGCTGTGTTTAAAGTCAACAATATTGTGTAATATACTAAAAAAATCACATTAAGCTTTCTAGAAAACACCCCAAAAGTTGCAGAATTGCAATACTTTCAATGCACTAAGAATTCAAAAATTCCAATTGTTGGCAAAGATTAAATATCCCATTTTTACATATTCATACAAGACACAACTTAGCTAACCTTTAAAGAATGTAAGAGTTCAGGGTAATATCTACCTATCACTATTTCATTGTATATTTTAATAAACATTGCCAAACAAGAAAAATGCTGAAGCTAAAAAATATATGCAGAAACAATGTTAATAAATCAAATCCTAATGGTCATTACATGATATCGCAATCTATTGTCCTATCATATTTAGTGCCCAAATTAACCTTCAATGGAAATTTAGGGTCTCTGAATGAACCCTTGGATAATAATAGACACATTCTAAAAAGAATCAGGGCATCAGGCTCCCAGGTTGCTTTATTAAAGGGCATTATCGCTAAACAGTTGGTTTTGGACATTATGTTCAATTGCCACAGTTTATACGCATTTGACCAAATAATGCTTCTTTCTGTATTTCTGTATTTTATCTGAAATTTGTATCTATTTTATATTGCGATTATAAAGGGACATGCTATCTAATGAGCCATCCCAAACTGACTTTTGATAGATGCTTGGGGTATTTGACCACATCTTTGAGTAACTACAGATGTGCTCTGAAAAGATATCTGGTCTCTCAGGCTTCCAGGTTGGTCTACTTTAGCACATTATTATTTATACTTGGTTATGAGCCTTAATTAAATGATAACAATTGTGATCTTTGACCTCACAGCCATTCAAGTATTTCAGCATCTTGATGGTCACTTTCCTTTGCATCCATATATACCCACGTGCACTCATCAGGAAGATGCTATCTTGAGCTACGAAACACAGATTTGATTTATAGCCCCTAAGTGTTTAGGTAGAATTCCTAATTCTTAATTAAAACATCATTTTTATTTATAAGCAAATATCAGTGATGATGAATGTAGCTGCAGTGTTTCTTTCACAAATCAGCATCCACATTCATGCATTATCTTTTGTTTCCAACCAGACAAGACCCACATCCCCAGCAACATGAGGAATCACACAGAGCTGACTGAGTTCATTCTGCTGGGAATACCTGAGACACAGGGACTGGAGATTGTGCTCTTTGTCATCTTCTTGTTCATTTACCTTTTCACCCTGCTTGGAAACTTACTCATCCTTACAGCAATTATCTCTTCCTCTGCCCTTCACACACCCATGTATTTCTTCTTGGGACTCCTCTCTATTTTTGACATGCTGTTCCCATCTGTCACCTGCCCCAAGATGCTGTTCTATCTCTCTGGCCAGAGCCACGCCATTTCTTATCACGGATGTGCCGCCCAGCTCTTCTTCTACCATTTCCTGGGCTCCACAGAAGGGTGCCTCTACTCTGTGATGGCTTATGACCGCTTTGTTGCCATCTGTCACCCACTGAGGTATAATCTCATCATGAGACCTGGGGTTTGTGTTGGTTTGGTCCTGGGAGCCTGGACTGTGGGATGTCTAAATGCCACTACCCTGACCTCCTTTACATTTCGGCTAACATACTGTGGCCCCAACCAGGTGGGCTACTTTTTCTGTGACATTCCTGCTGTCTTACCCCTGGCTTGTGATGACAGCTCCCTTGCCCAGAAAGTGTGTTCCACTATTGTTGACATTATGGTTTTAATGTTTTGGTTCACAGTTTGCATCTCTTACACACGCATCGGGATTGCCATTCTGAAAATCCGTTCAGCAGAAGGCAGGAAGAAAGCTTTCTCCACCTGCAGTGCCCACCTCACTGCCATCCTCTGTTCCCTTGGACCTGTAGTCATCATCTATCTGCAGTCTACACCCAACCCCTTGCTTGGTTTTGTGGTACAAATATTAAATAATTATGTGTCACCCATGCTGAACTCATTAATCTACTCCTTAAGGAACAAGGAAGTGAAAAGATCCCTGAAAAAAGTGTTCCACAGAATAGTACTTATTTCTCTGGAATAAGTTATGGGTTTGTAACTCATTCTCTATTTTTTTGTTGTTGTTAAAGAAATAAGCACATTATAAAAATGATTCCTTTAAAGCAATATATTAATTTGCTTAATAAGACTGTCTATTTTGAGTATCTGTTATTCTTGGGACTCCATAAGTAACTGCAATTAGTATTATGGTCAGTGTCTTCATTTCTGGATAAGAAATCCAAGGGCATCACAAGCAGCTTGAGACAGATTTCTTTCTACATTAGGCAACTAAGTTTGCCTAGTTGAGGGAAGTGAAAGTCTCTGGCAATCCAAGAAGCACCCTTCATAATCCATTTCTATGATGAATCAAACTTAAAGTCATTTTCTTGTTGTTACACTTAGTAGATACACTTCCTGCAAGATGCTAGGAGTAGTATTAATATTGATAGAACTTTGCTAGAGGCCCTGTGATGAACACCTCACAGATGCCACCTTGTTTCACCATCCTATCACCCAGAAAAGCAGTTTCCATTTTGTCAAAAGGAGCTTTGAGAAACAGACTTCATGAAATGGTCTCCATTGCACATAAGGCAGCAAACCAGACCCCAGCGTCAGAACCTGTTAACTCCAAAGTCCCTTTTTAAAATCCCTCTACTACATGACTATTCTAAAAGATCTGTTTGGAAATTTACTCATCCTCATTACCTCTCTCAGAACTCATTATATATACACAATACATTCAGTGAGTAACTGGTAAATAATATGGACAAAGTCCACCTTTTTATATTGGCTGTACTATGAGCTTTGTTTATTCTGTGCCACTGCTCACTGTACTGAGCTTCAGTCTATATATGCCTTGCTCTTTATAACACAACTACAATTGTTACAGGAAAGCCAGGTCTATACCAAGTCCTCTTAACTCTTACTGTCATGGTATTCCTTCTGCACCATGCAATCAATCTTGAAAATGAAACTTCAGTGTCAATGTAAAAGGACCGGAAAAGCCCTGTCCATTGTTGAAGACAATGTCCCAGCATGTGGCTCCACAGCCATGCTCACTTGATTCCACCATCAAGTTACATTTGCCAACTTGGCTTCCAACAATACTGGAGCAGATTTCTCCTACATCTTTTCTACAATCTGTGGTAGGAAAGGGACACCACTTTATGAAGCCCCACAGATCAATCAGCCTTAGTTTTCATGACATTTTAGTGATTGGTAGTTTTGTGTTCCCTTTTTAATCCCCAAATTCTCCCTTCTAGTAGAAACCATGGTAACAAATAAAAAAGCAGAAATCCCAAATGAAGTAAATTGCCTCCCTAACTAAAGAAGAGGACATGAAGCAAGAGGACAAAATGAAGCACACTAGCATAGATGGATGGAGCCAGGTACTGTAAGGCTCCATGCCCCCTGCTAGCCCATCTAGAAAAACCTGTATCACAAAGAACCCTACTCCCACAGATAGAATATTTACCCTAGAGAATGTGCCAGATCCATATTGCGCTAGTGTGTTTTTGTCCTATTAATGCTGCATTGAGGGAAGAAGCCAGGTGCTATGGTGTCTCCTCATACCTCGATTGTGTTTATGAATATGTACCCATCGACCAACACTTCAACTTGTTCAAGAGATTTGGAAAATCTAATGAAAAATTCCATAAGTATAGAGATCCTATTCACCGGTATGTCCCCAGGATGTAGCCAATAGTCAATATCTTGTAAGTTGAACACTACTTTGTCATTCAAATTATGATACAATCACATATTTGCTACCATTTAAAGAGGAACATGAATGAAAGAATTAGAACACAGAACAATGTGCACTAATTCAAATATCCACATACAATTATGTGAAATTAAAGTTATGTGAAAGCTGAAATATGAATGAAATTCAACTAGTAAATGGTATTTTGTTAACCCAGAGGCTCAGAAATTGTAGAGAAAACTGTCAAGCAGGTTCTGGTGTATTAGAATCAACATGGTTCTACCACTGAATTTAGTCTATGAACTTTAGACTTAAAGCATCTAGGAGTCACTTCCTTCATGTACAATTTAACATTTGTATAACCTTAGGGAAAAGACATAAACTCTCTGGAGATCCATGTCATCATAAAAAGCATATACCCTATACGGACATTGCAGGAATTAAAACAAACCAAAAAAATTAATCACTGACTCTTAGACGTGAAAAGATTTTTTTAAGATATCACTCACAGTAGCCACTCTTTAAATGTTAGTCCCACTTTTCCTTTACCCTGGTGGAATTCTGAGAAAATGGGAAATCTTAGGTCATTTAGTCTCAGAGAATAGGCTATTATAAATAAAAGGATCGAGATTTCTTATATACTTTTCTAGCAATAGAAATATTAATTTTTGTTTTTGTTTTACTATCAGTTTTCTCAAAATCACTAGAAGTTAAGAAAAAGAAAACCAAATAAGCCAAATAATAAGAAAACAAAAGCTGCAGAAAAACTCATTTTTAAATTGGAACAAACAGGACTGGGGGGTGGGGGATGAAAGGAGTCTAACAATGATGAGAAATCCATATTCCAAGCAACATCAATAAATCTGTAGGAGCAAGAACCACATGTCAGGAAGTTCACAATTATTATCTAATTTAAACTTCTCAATATCCCTATGACAAAGAAAAATACCCCTGTTACCTACAATTATAACTTTTATAAATGATTGTGTTAAGGTTTGGAGACAACCAATTACCTTCTCAATAACATAGCTATTGAGAAACACATATTTCAATCCAGACTTTTTAGCTCATAGGTGGTATTAATTATGTTACAGCTTCTTCTAAACCAAGAGGCAAGGAAATAGGTAGAAACTAGAAAAATGACAATTAAGTAGCCCAAATGCTTGAGATCCTCAGAGAACAACAGGGTCCATAGGATGGCTACCCAAAGGAGGTATATTGCGTGTCCAGGGAGAATCTACACTCCTTTAATCCCAATTCCTTTGAAGACAATCTTGATTATCAATTTGTACAATTTTCTCACTCCTACAATCAACATCCAGCACTAATTGCTCCCTCTGCTCAAAGGGCTCCTGCTCCCTGTGTCCTGGGATATACCATGAGTGGGACCCCAGAGGGATGATGAGATCACGTGAAATCTCTGCAAAGGGAAGAGCTGTTCTTCTGCTAATCAGCGAGGAATCACCCTAGATGTGAGGGCACCATCAGACATATACCATACCCTCGCTGTGTGAATCTAAGTGAAAAAGACCACTGTGGTCTGCAGAACAAGAACCCAAGACTGATTCCATGGCGCACAGGGAAGAGAGACATTGGAAATGGAGCGACCACATCTTTGTAGAAGAAACTGAAGCTTAAAGGAGGCAGAAAACATTTTTCTTTACTTGAGCCTATAATGACCCTTTTGGCCACGTAAGTGCCTAAAGCATAGTTCATTTTTTAACTAGTTCTTTTAACTTCTTTACCCTCACTATAGACTCAGTATTGCAAGTACTATTGGAAGAAATCAAAGTAAGGACTTTCTTCTCTTTTTATGCAAAGACCAGGGCCCTTTTCTTCATTTACTCTGTTGAATAACAGGCAGAAATTCATTCATTTATTTTTTTCTTTAATCATATCCAATTTTTATTCTGTTCCAAGCACCAAACATTACCTAGGATAAAAAAAAAATAGTGGATATATCCCCTAACATGGAGAAAAATTTATTTCTATGGCATGAAGAAAATCATCATCTTTATGACACAAAGATTTGTAAAAGACATTCTCCAGGTCATCTCCCAATTCTCTGAAAAATGTATATATGTCTTAAATGGCTCCTGTTCCATTTTTCCTAAAGTGGAATAGTGCTTAAAGTTTTATATCCAGTCTTCTGTGCTTATTTTGTCTCCCCTCTGAACTCTCCCTTAGGCTTCAGACTCTGTCATCTATGTAAGGATAACTATTTCCCAAGCTCTTTATCATGGGATTCTCTTTAGCAAATAATGAACCACAGATCATATGTTGTTATGAATCAACATATTAGAACAAAAAATATATAATAGAACAATAGCCAAGTCATGAAGCAGAATACACAATAATAGTTGCCAGATGTAGGAATGAGGGGGAATTGGGGAGTTGCTAGTCAAAAGATATAAAGTTTCAGGAACACAAGAGAATATATCCTAGAAATTTGCTCTAAAGCATTGTGCCAAAAGTTAACACTAATGAACAGTACTCTTCAAAATCTGTAAGAGGGTAGATCACATGTTCAGTTTTCATGCCACAAAATAATTGAGATATCATGAACATGGATACTGGTTTGTAAACAAAACATTCCAACTACATTCATCATCACTGATATTTGTTTAAAAATAATGATGTTGAAATTCAGAATAGGAATTCTACCCATTTAGGGATCAGTATAGAAATCGATACCTTGATTTCTTGAAATACCATGTTCCTCACAAATTTACATGAGTAAATTCAGTATCCACATTCATGCTATCTCAATTTTTGTTTTCAACCAGACCACACCCAGATCCCCAGTGACATGAGGAATCACACAGAGGTGAAGGAGTTCATTCTGCTGGGAATACCTGAGACACAGGGAGCAGAGACTTTGCTCTTTGTCATCTTCCTGTTCATTTACTTCTTCACCCTGCTTGGAAACTTACTCATCCTTACAGCAATTGTCTCTTCCTCTGCCCTTCACACACCCATGTATTTCTTCTTGGGACTCCTCTCTATTTTTGACATGCTGTTCCCATCTGTCACCTGCCCCAAGATGCTGTTCTATCTCTCTGGCCAGAGCCACGCCATTTCTTATCACGGATGTGCCGCCCAGCTCTTCTTCTACCATTTCCTGGGCTCCACGGAAGGGTGCCTCTACTCTGTGATGGCTTATGACCGCTTTGTTGCCATCTGTCACCCACTGAGGTATAATCTCATCATGAGACCTGGGGTTTGTGTTGGTTTGGTCCTGGGAGCCTGGTGTGTGGGTTGCCTTCAATCCACAATTCTGACCTCCTTTACATTTCAGTTAACCTACTGTGGCCCCAATCGAGTGGACTACTTCTTCTGTGACATTCCTGCTGTCTTACCCCTGGCTTGTGATGACAATTCTCAGGCCCAGACTGTGGGTTCTACTAATGTTGGCTTTCTGGCCTTAATGCTTTGGTTCACTATTTGTGTCTCCTACACACGCATTGGGATTGCCATTTTGAGAATCCGCTCAGTGGAGGGCAGGAAGAAAGCTTTCTCCACCTGCAGTGCCCACCTCACTGCCATCCTCTGTGCTTTTGGACCTGTAATCATCATCTATCTGCAGTCTACACCCAACCCCTTGCTTGGTGCGGTGGTGCAAATATTAAATAATATTGTCTCACCTATGCTGAACTCATTAATCTACTCCTTAAGGAACAAGGAAGTGAAAAGATCCCTAAAAAGGGTGTTCCATAATGTAGTATTTACTTCTCTATAATAAGCTATAATTTTTTAAATGAATTCTTGGTTTGTTATATACATTCTATAGAAGCAAACACTAATGTTTGAAATTTATTGTTGCTAACATCATCCTCCTATTCTCTTGTTAAATAATCAGATAATAAAATTTGCTTTTCCAAAGCATTGTATTTTATTTGCCTAATGAGATTTTTCTGTATGTGTCTCTGTAATCCCTGAAGTCTATAAGTAACTACAATATTATTGTCAGTGCCTTTATCTTGCTTAAGGAAATCCAAGGGGCAGAGTTAACAGCTGGAGACAGATTTCTTATTCCTATTTTCAGTAGCCAATTTTACATGGTTGATGGTATTAAGCATCTGTGCTTAATACCTTCAAAGTCCACCTCTGTATCAAATCTTTCATTTTTCTTGCTTCTCCAAATGCAATAGTTACCCTCTTCTGCTGTGAACATTTCAGTTCCTCCATGTTGCTAAGAATAGTATTAACATTCACAGAACCTGATTTGTTTTCCAGGCACTGTGATGAACAATTTGGATGCCATCTTATTGACTCTAACATCATCCCCATGAAGTTGAGTTTCCATATTGTAGGAAGGAATTTTCAGGATTACAGACGTCAAATTATGCACCTAAGATACATATAATGTAGCAGACCAAACTTGCAGCTCAGCTCCAGTAACACCAAAATCTCTTTTCTTAATTCCTCTACAACATGACTGCCCTAAGAGGCCTGCTTGGCAATATATTCATCATTTGTTCCTCTCTCCAGAGCTCATGCTCTATAGAGGGTTTTCAATAAATTACTGGTAAAATATGGTGTACTATAGCTTATATTTGAATATTGACTATACTGTGATCTCTATTTACTTATAATCCCTTCCACCTACATATAGATAATGGCAAGAAGTATCTTACCCATTATAACATATCTAACTATGATATAGCCAGGGCTAGACCTAAGCCCTCTTAACTCCTTGCCATGGTTTTCCTTTTCCTCCCACATTGCTAATATCCAAAATTACTCCCTACGGGGCAAACCTTCCTATCCAGTGTCATTTGAAGAGAAAATGGTCTAATCATGTAGCTCAATTACCACATGCTTTTGAACACACACCAAGTTATGTTTTCTAATTTGACCTTCACAATACTGGAGTCTTAAGTTATTTTTCCAATTTTTCCAGAGAGAAAAGGGGGGAGTACAATTTATTGGTGATCCCACAGACGCAGCAGCCCATAGTTTTCTTGACATTTTGTGATTTGTGGCTTTTATGTTCCATTTTTACTCTCCAATGCTCATATCCTACTAGCAACCATTAAAACAAAATAAGTAAAAATCAAAAGTAAATGTCTGCCTTTACCAAAGACAAAAAAGGACAAAATCCACCTACAATCTCAGTAGCATTTATCTAACCTAAAAACCATCTTTTCTCCTTTTCTCATAACCAAGTATCTCAAAATTCTACAGCCTGGTGATCTCCCTTAACTGTCACTCTGATAATTAGCCTCTCTGAACTGTCTCTTCCTATGTCCCCTCCCCCACAATATACTCAATACAATCCTCCTTAAAACTCACCTAAAGTTTCTCAAAGTTCCTAACAGAAAGCATATTCATTAAAAGGACCAACCAGACCATGATTAACTTGCTTTTCTGCCTCTCAAGGTTTATCTCAGTCCTCTTTTTCGCTTTGCTCCAGTTCATCAAACATACTTCCAAAGCCTCTGTATGTGCTCTTGTCTGTCAAGAATGTTCTTTGTCTTACCTTTCTTGGAACTCTTGCTCTTCAGATCTCCATTGACACATTTCTCAGGGAAGTCCAGGACCTTCAAGGACCACCACCTAGTGATACAAATCATGATACAAATAGGTATTGACATGAAAAGAAAAACCCAGGATACAAGTACTTTGCTGTTACAACTATTCAGGTATAGTTGCATATAGAGACTATATAGAGAGAATATATGTGTGTGTGTGTGTGTGTGTGTGTGTGTGTGTGTGTGTATATATAAAGAAAACTGAACTTTTCTTCCTAGCATTTGCTACATAAATATATACATATGATATATATATATATATATATATTAGATTTGAGTAATGTTTTTATTACTGGACTGTGAATTATTTGGGAGAAGTCCAGACTAATTCCAATTCACCAGAATATAGGTTTGCATACCACAGCAGCTGCTAACACATTTTTGAGGAATGAAAAAGTGACCTCAGAAACATCCACATTATTGACACCACTTTCTCTCCTCTTTTCAGCATTTTGCTTGCCTGTTCTTAGCTTCTTATCCAGTTTAGGCCTTTTGACCATTATTATAACTAGTGCTAAATTCCTCCTTTTCTTCCCACCCCTTCTCCTGTGAACCCCTTTTCTGTAATGAATACATATAATTTTCTAAGAGGGCAGGTCCTAAGAGTTCTTACCACACAGAGAAAATTAGAGAAAAGAAAATGGTCACTCTGTGAGATGCTGGATATGTTATTCAGCACAATGATAAATTCATCATGTACGCATATATCAAAACACCCCACTGTACAATTTATATAGAGGATTTGTCAATTTATATCTCAAAAGCCAAAATAAATGAAAGTTGCTTTCACATGTTTAATTTCAAGGTCAAGAATTAATATTAATATTTTAGTTTTCTATTATGGCATTAAATACAGCAACCAAACAAGTGCTTCAAAATAATAACTTATTCTATTAAAAGGTAAATTGAGTTCTTGTTTTAAAATGCACATAAAGTGTAATGTGCAATTATACTTTTGTTGCTTAGAATAATTCTGGTACATCTTTATACTTTGAGGAACTTATAAATGAAAATAACAAGATGTTCTGTTATTCTTTAATCTGCAATTGTTATCACTGAAAGCAGTGACTGGACTTTAGAGCTTGTGGAACATTTGTGTTTTTAGTGGCCATGATATTAATTTAGCATGTACCCTGTTGATTTTAAACATTCCATTTGCAAATTTCAAATAGTCTTAAAAGGCTAGGTTGCAACAAAAACATTATTTGCTTTTTAAATAAAAATTCCAGATGACTTTGTAACAATGATTTACTAAACACTCCTTAAACATTGAAACTTGATGATCAAAAACTTTATTACCAAGAAGAGGCCAGATCCCAGCTTATTCCAGAATAAACTCCATAATTCCAGCTTATTCCAGAATAAACTCCATAATTTGGAGGCATTTGTTTAAGTCCTTTGATTCTTACTTTTCTAATATGTAGGAGACTTACTTCATCAGAGTTTTATGAGGTATAAATAAGACCATAACACTCTTTTTCTCTCCAATAAACTAAAATTTTTGAGCACAGGGCCTATATCTGACCACCTCCTCCCAAAACTTTTTGGGCCAAGAAAGATCTGGCAAATGATTAATGTCCTGACTAAGATAATTAGTACTCAGAACTTGCTGGTATAAATGAATCTATGAATGCAGTAATAAATGAACAAATGCATTTAATGAGGAATTTACCCCCTGCCTCCCCCAAATATTTATTGTGTGTGCAAGACATTTAACTTAGGAAGTGTGAGCAGATGCTAAGTAAAATAATATGGACACCTGAAGTGACAGCTTAAAATTCTTTTTGTGCCCTCAGCATGTTTCTTCCCCCCAGCAATAGATCTTTTCCCTGCCCTTTGGTCAACTGCCCATCTCCAACCCACTGTACTCTGTACCGGGGCACAGAATAAGCATATGACCCAGCTAAGAAAATCAGATTTTAACCTGGAGCTGAGATGCACATCAGCAAAGAGCAGCTGAGGCGGAATCATCTGATGGCAGTGTCGTGAGCCTGCTTAGGCCCCTGGAGCTGCCCTAGTTCCAGAATCTTCCATAGGCCTGATATTTTCATCAATTATCTGTGCTACCCCAGTTACTATTGTTGGCAATAAATCAACCCTATTATCGCAGTGTAGTAAATAGCATGACAATTTTTTTTTTATAAAATAACACATATGAAAAATCAGTAAATATAAAAATATACCAAAAATATGTGACATATTTTTCACATTATTATTCCACTGAATTATATTTTACAAAAGAAACTAACAGATTTAATCTCTAATCAGGTCTCTCTCTCTCTCATTCATTTCTAAGGTCCAATTATACCAAGTAGTTAATTGTTCCCTTGCTCAGCACAGTCCCTGACTTGGGGGACTAATACCCAAAGGAAAACCAAGATTATTTAAAATCTGTGTTTGCAGTTCTGGAGCTGGGGGTGAATTTACTATAAAGAAATTGAAGCACATTTGTATTTGAAAGTGATTGAAAAACAGAACTCAGGATATTAACCTGCAGACTACAAACTGATGGGGATTTAGACAGAAGAGCGCCCCTTCCTCCTGGAGAACAAAAAGGAAATAACACCCTGTAACATCAGCCAGATATGTTCCTGGTTTGCCTTGTAAGTGTCCGAATTCAGTCCTTCACCTTTTCAATTGAGGTAACATTGGTTGACAACATGATATGTGATTATTCAAAGACATAGGATCACACCTCCTCTGATGCATCCCCATCATCATCATTATCCCCCCTGTCAGGTAGCCTCAAGGCCTTCACTATTTTATTTTGCCTCTCATGAGATCCCCCCATAGATAGATAGATAGTATAGATATATAATACACACACAAGATTAAGAGATGGATAGGGTCTTATCTTAGACAGTAGGATTCATGGGTTGAGCTGTAATTTAAAGGTCTTATTATTGTTGTAGAAGTTAGAATGAGTTGAAAAAGATATCCCAGGATATTTCAAAACATGGACATTGGAAGAAGCATCTACTATCCCTTCTCCTGTGTCTTCTACTGCCATAAAATTAAGATATTGCTTAGAAAAATGTTAGACAATTGTAGACATTAGAGAACTGAAAGGGAGGTTACCAGTTACTCACGGTTTGAAATCTGAGCACACAAGCCCTGTTAAAGTAATTTTATGTTCACTAAGAGTGGCCTAAGCCCCTTCTTTCAGCTAGTTTCTCATGATTGACCTTTATACCTAGGAAGCCAATGTGGGAAAGATGCTGGATCCTTTGTATGTATGGCTTAGATGATCACAAATGATTTTTGGAGTGTTAACATTTCTGAACTGTCTTTGATGAATATAGGCAACTGTTACAAAGACATTGTGCCCCTATATTTGTCCCTTTTAGTATCAGAAAGTAGCCTCTGGAATGAATGTGATTTAACAGTGTCTATGAAGAATGTGAGGAGACAGGTCCTATAAAGGTTGTTGGTGAAATTATTATATCCAGTAAAGAGAGAAGCGGGTAGATCAAGACAATTCCTCCAGGAAGCATTAATCTGCAAATATCTAAGGCAGTTGCTGCTTTTCCACCTCACTGATTTAAGCAGCTAACCACAATTCTTTTTCACAGATACGCAAGAGTTAGTTCTTCCATTAAAAATGAGAAATCACACCATGGTGACTGAATTCATCCTGCTGGGCATCCCTGAGACAGAGGGCCTCGAGACTGTGCTCTTCTTCTTGTTTCTCTTAGTATATTTATGTATACTCTTGGGAAATGTGCTCATTCTTACAGCTATCATCTCCTCCTCCCAGCTTCACACCCCCATGTATTTTTTCTTGGGAAACCTCTCCATGTTTGACCTGGGGTTCTCTTCAACAACTGCTCCCAAGATGCTATTATACCTCTCCAGGCAGAGTCAAGGAATCTCTTACCAGGGCTGTGCTACCCAGCTCTTCTTCTACCACTTCCTGGGCTGCACGGAGTGTTTTCTGTACACTGTAATGGCCTACGACCGCTTTGTTGCCATATGTCACCCTCTGCGGTACATGGTCATCATGAACCACAGAGTCTGTGCCATCTTGGCCACAGGGACATGGGTGGGGGGCTGTGTCCATGCCATTATCCTCACCTCCCTCACCTTCCAGTTACCCTACTGTGGCTCAAACGAGGTGGGCTACTACTTTTGTGACATTCCTGCTGTCTTATCTCTAGCCTGCGCAGACACGTCTCTAGCCCAGAGGGTAGGTTTCACAAATGTTGGTCTTTTATCTCTCATTTGTTTTTTTCTGATCCTTGTTTCTTACACTCGCATTGGCATCTCCATATCAAAAATTCGCTCTGCAGAGGGCAGGCAGCGAGCGTTCTCCACCTGCAGTGCTCACATCACTGCCATTCTTTGTGCTTATGGGCCAGTGATCATTATCTATCTACAGCCCAATCCCAGTGCCTTGTTGGGAGCTATAATTCAGATATTGAATAATCTCGTAACCCCCATGTTGAACCCACTGATATACAGCCTGAGGAATAAGGATGTAAAATCAGCTCTGAGGAATGTCCTCCACAAGAGGGACTTTGCTCTGGAAAATAAATGAGAAAATCTACAGCTTTGCTGGGTGAAGTCTGACTTTCCATTTAAGACATTAGTCCCTAAGAGAATCAGCTTTAGTTTGTCAAAGATAGTAAAAACAAAACAAAGTCAATCAAGTTTAAGTATATCGCTCATGTCTTTTTCCAATTATATTGCCCATGTCTTTTTTTTTTTAAAGTATATTGCACATGGATCTATCTTTGAATGGTATAAGAGGCATGTGAAAGTTTTCAGTTAAATACAGGCAGTAATAATAAATTGGCATCTCTGTAGAAAAGAAAATGCTTCTTTCTCATAATTACATCTATATAATTTTTTTAAAGATTTATTGATTGATTGATTGATACATACAAGCACTGTGTACAGTCAGAAGCGGGGGAGGGTGAGAGAATTCACCAGAGCCAGAGCGGGGAGCAGAGCAGGCAGAAGGACCCAAGTACACTGCTGAGGGGAGCAGCGGGCGGCAGGAGGGGTCTGTGGCAGGAGGGGTCTGCGTGCCATGTGGGACCCTCCTCCGGTGGCCGGGGAGCAGCTGGGGATTGAACCAGCGCTGCAGAGGCTGCGGGCAGCTTCGCAACCCAGAGCTCAACCGCTGCGCCAACAGGGAGGCCCTATATAATTTTTTATCCCTTCAATCTATGGTCTATAATACTAAGGGAAAAAATAGGTCTATTTATGGAAACTACATTAAATTTTGTAACTATTCTCATTTTTCTTCCCCTGGTGTTTTCCTTTCTATGGTTTACCTACCAGTTGTTTATGGCTTTTCCTATATGATACATTATATCCTTTTTGAAAAGCAGCAGAGAATACATTAAAACCAAAAACATAATAAAGCTGTATTTTAAAAGTGAAATAGCATTTTTCATATTGGAGTGATTTTTACCTTCCTGCTCTTGCCTTCAGTTCCTATCTATTAATGCAGATGATTTAAAATCAGTTCTCCAGTGGAAATTATAGGCATCACACTGAGCGTGGAATGAGCTATCCAAAAATATTAAATGGCCTCCAGTGACTATAGGAGCCATGACCCATACTTTGTGGTTACCTTAGAAGAATCTCTAATGTACCTTTCATACAATTAGGTAGTCAGGCTAGAAATCAAAAGGACTTTAGTCCAAAATCAGACAAACTTAGTTACAGTAAACGTCCTTCCGGAAAAGCAGCAATTGAATTTAAATATTAAACTTGTCTAATGTTAAAGGGTAAAATCTAAATAATGGCTTGATTTTCGTTTATCAACTTCAGTCCACAAAATGAATAACTTCCATTATAGCAAGGCTGTTATTTCCGCAATTCTGTTATCTGGGAAACACAATAGTCATTCCAGCTCTCTAAGCCCTGCATGATGCTGCCAACTGCATTGCCCATGCACATCTGTCTTCCTCTGGACGCCAAGGACTCATAGTAATCTCTTTCCAGTTTCCTAAATGCAAACACCTGTGTTTTCTTCTCTACCTCCCTCTTTGGCAGGCAAATGCCAGACACTTGGCAAGGATGCCAGTGAACCAAATAACGGGATTTATTGATTTTAAGCAGATATAAAACAGCTGGTATAATCAGGATATACTACAGAGACATCAGCAGCTTTTCTCAAGACAGAAGATACAAGGTTCCTGGACCTAAATCACACCACGGACGATAGGGTGTTGTTCATGATAACATAGGAATGAGTAAGTTTACCTTCGGATGCGTCACTAACTCACTTAGACCTGGATTAATGAAAATTAGAACATAAGGCTAGACCATCACTGTGTGTATATGCTACTAACTACCTCAAAGTAGAGGTGCTTGGGACAGAGACACCCCATCAATCTCAGTATCGTACAAGTACGATATGATTATAGTTAGGGGACAAGATGAGCTTAGATCATTACAAAGTCCTCAACCATGCTCTCAGACTCTGCAACCCAGGGAGTCTCCTGTGAGTACTCTAATGACCTAGATGCTAAAGAGTTAGGAGAGGAAGCCATTCTCATAATGCTTAGCAGTTCACACCACAAATTACATTATTTATCTCACTCAGCACTCAGTCTTAATCTACACTCTTAAATCACCTGATGCTGTTTTAGAATTTCACATTTTCTACCAATAAAATTGTCCTGTGAATACACCTAACTACAGATCCTGAAGTCAAATAGCCTGGGGCTAGAAGACTTTTCAAACATGGTGGCTTTTCCCATTAACATTCAAATATTAAATCTTAATAGTTTGCTACTTGTGAGCACACGATATGAAATAGCTTTATGTAAAACTCATTCAAGTGAGCAAAAACCAAATAAATGGCAAACCCCCAGTAGTTCGAGAACATTTATAGGGAGTAGGTACTGAGAAGCATGAGAGAGAGAATGTACAATACAGAGCAAATCACCTTTGTAGTCTGAAGGAGCTTTGGCTGAGGAGGATGCAAAAACCATAAACATCACTTAGAGGGTCATAAATGCAGGCTGCACCAATTATCACTTAGAATGACTGTACTCTGAACTTCATTCATGATTGTTGTGCCAGAAACACAAACCTCAAAAGAAATGGAAATTAATAGGTTAAGCATGCACTGGATTATGTACTGTTAGTACTAGATTATGTGTTATTAGTCAACATAGATTAACTGACCACTTATTGTGTTCAGTAGAAGCTGTAGATTAGGTAGGAAGTGACTAAAATGAACTTAAACTCTATCATTAAGAAATTTCATCAAATGAAAGTCAAGTACTATATAAAACCAGGAAACTATGATGTCACCACAGTAAATTTCTGAATATTGCAAAAAACCAAAAATATCTAAAACTCCAAAGAGAAGAAGTATCTATAGGTGAATTCTTTCCCAGGATGTGGCAGTCTAATACCATCCTCAATCCCTCAATAGGATATTCTTACATTTAAATTTTAAATCCAAATTCATGGGCTCTGGGCAACTGATGCTGAATGACCACCACATTGACATCAAGATGTCCCCTTTCTCTCACAATGTTTTTTGTTATCAGATGTATTTATTTATGCATACAAGAGCTGGGGTACAGGCCAGAGATGCAGGGGGGTTGAGAGGATTCACCAGAGACAGCGCAGGGAACAGAACAGGCAGACTGACTGAAATACACTGCTGAGGGGAGCAGCGGATGGGACAGGAGAGGTCTGCTGCACCATGTGGGTTTCTCTCTGGCCGGCCGGGGATCAAACTCATGCTGCAGAGGCTGCGGATTGCTTCATAGTGTGGTGCTCAACCCCTTGTGCCACCAGGGAGGCCCTCTCTCACATTTTTGTCTACACTCTCAGCCCTCAGAACCAATAGGTCTCTTTCACAGGTTTTGCCTGGAACAGCATTTGGTTTGATATTATATCATGTACCAGATCCTAAGAATATTATTCTGTTTAAGATATTACTAGATGACTAGGACTTGCTTCTTCTTTTGTTAATATTTTAGATAGTGGTTTTATAAAAACATCTTTCCATGGGGAAAGTAGACATTAATGAAGAGACTCTACATTAAAGCAACACAAATTTGGTAGTACTAAAGGATGCTCATCCCATTCCATCAGGAAAGAGTCCCAAAATTAGAAAGCGACCATGGCCACAAATATGGCACCTCAACCTTATAATGAGATGAATATGAAATGGAGGGAAGAATTCTGAACATTTGATTCTTCAAAGTTTAATAACAAAAGGGTATTTTATATTTATACTTATATTCTGAAATTTTACTAAGGCACTTCATGTTCGGACTTGATATTCTTATGCAATTTAATTTTGTTAGCATATTATTTATATTTTTTGCTATTGTGGGTGTTCATTTTACAGCTCCTTCCATTGATTTATATTAAAAAACGTGGCTAGACATAATTTGCAATGAGGAATGGATTAGAGAATGTATTTTTGACTGGGTACAGTGTGTCCTTGATATTAAATCAATTTCTGTTCTGGAGACCAGTGGATGATTCAGGCAGTGCTCCCTGGGTTGCCTGGCAACCAGCTGGCTGAAGTGGCCTGCAGCTTCCCCCCACAGAAACCTAGAGGTCAAGTCAAGATGTGATTTCAAGGTTTAGAGGGAGAGAGATAGGACATTCTCTTGCAATTTTAATCCAGCTTTATTAGTAATAAAACCGACATTGTATTTGAACCCTCAGCTGAATCCTTACATTTATTCCTCAGTTCTTAGTTTCTTAATCAGAAATGAGTAAGTGGGAAAAAGGATGACTGATTACACTTCCTCAATACACATTATTAGCTCTTCAGTTTGATATGATACTTCACACTTCCAAGTTGCTTATAGATGAAATGATGCTTTTATGAAATATGGTTCAATAAGTTTATTTAAAATTCTTCTTAACCTCAGCCTAATATGTATAAAGAAGACATCACAAATACTCTCCAAGGGCACATCAAACTAAGCTTTACAGTGATCACAGGAAAAGGGAGTAATTCAGTCTTTTTCAGTGATTAAGGTGCCATGCAAGAGAAATCACAACATACTCAAGTGCCTGGGTCAGAAACTAAGAGCACACCTTCACTGTTTCACATTCCCGCTCAACAATTTGCTCCACCAACCTATTTCTCAACTATTTTTTCCCTATTTGTCATCCACTCTCCTTCCAAATTGCTACCATCTCATTCATATCTTGATCACACCCAGATGGCCTTTTAAATGGAACCTGGCTGCTTCTCCAGCCTGAGGCCAACCCCCTGTCCTGATACGTTTTAGGGCGCCCACTAATCACATTACTCACCAAGGAGCTCTACTCAGACTGCCATACAAAGCACAACCTTCACAGCACATCATTTGACCTTCCACATTCTGACTCCCGCAGACCTTTCCACCATGGTAGTAACCATGCTGAGTTGTGGTTTTCTCAAATACTCTGTGCCCAGTAACATTTGATAGGCCACTTCTAGACCTTTCAATCTAGCCTCCTTTTAAATATTCTCATTCATGATGCCAACCTGAAAGAAGTTGATTTCTCCTACATATTTCTCTAGTGTGTATGCAAATGAGACAGACTCCCTTCAGC